TTTTTTCACCGTTTTTTCCCATTTTTTCCTGTTTTTGCCCCATTTTGGGCTCCCCCCGTACCTGGTGTCCTGGTGGGTGCCCAGGCAGCGCGTGCAGCAGTACCTGGCCCCGCAGGTGACGCAGGTGTAGCCCGAGGGGAAGCCGCAGACGGCGCAGAAGTGCCGCTGGGGCAGCCGGGACGGGGCGGCGCCGGCCGAGACGTAGTTGGGGCCCTCGGCCGCGCTCAGGTTCTGGGGGTTCGGGGGGTTTGGGGTCAGGGAGGGGCCGGGCGCTGAGCCGGAGTGAAATCCGGAATTCAGAGCGAAATCCCGGAATTCAGCTTCAAAATCAGCCCCAAAATCCAGAATTCAGAACCAAAAATCCAGAATTCAGCTTCAAAATCAGCCCCAAAATCCAGAATTGAGCCCCAAAATCAGCCCCAAAATCCAGAATTCAGACCCAGAAATCCGGAATTCAGCTTCAAAATCAGCCCCAAAATCCAGAATTCAGAACCAAAAATCAGCCCCAAAATCCAGAATTCAGAACCAATAATTCGGAATTCAGCTTCAAAATCAGCCCCAAAATCCAGAATTCAGACCCAGAAATCCGGAATTCAGCTTCAAAATCAGCCCCAAAATCCAGAATTCAGAACCAAAAATCAGCTCCAAAAATCCAGAATTCAGAACCAAAATTCAGGCCCAAAATCCAGAATTCAGCTTCAAAATCAGCCCCAAAATGCAGAATTCAGAACCAAAATTCAGACCCAAAATCCAGCTTTAAATCCAAAATTCAGCCAAAAAATCCAGCCTCAAAATCCAGAATTCAGAACCAAAACCCAGAATTCAGCCCCAGAATCAGCCCCAAAATCCAGAATTCAGACCCAAAATCCAGCCCCAAAAATCCAGAATTCAGAACCAAAATTCGGACCCAAAATCCAGAACTCAGACCCAAACCCCAGAATTCAGCTTCAAAATCAGCCCCAAAATCCAGAATTCAGAACCAAATCCCAGAAATCAGCCCCAAACATCCAGAATTCTGAACCAAAAATCCAGAATTCAGCCCCAAAATCAGCTCCACAGGAAGAAATTCAGCCCCAAAAGCCAGAATTCAGAACCAAAAATCAGCCCCAAAAATCCAGAATTCAGAACCAAAATTCAGCCCCAAAATCCAGAACTCAGACCCAAAAATCCAGAATTCAGACCAAAAAATCCAGAATTCAGACCCAAAAATCCAGAATTCAGACCCAAAATCAGCCCCAAAAATCCAGAATTCAGAACCAAAATTCGGACCCAAAATCCAGAACTCAGACCCAAAACCCAGAATTCAGCTTCAAAATCAGCCCCAAAATCCAGAATTCAGAACCAAATCCCAGAAATCAGCCCCAAACATCCAGAATTCTGACCCAAAAATCCAGAATTCAGCCCCAAA